AAAAGTAACATTTCAGTTGGCCTCTTATTCAGTTGGCTCACCAGTAGCTTGCCATATTTGGGGGCGTTATAGGTGGTCTGTCTTAAACATCCTAAAAATCTAAAAATTCAGGTTGGAAGCAAATGTAAGCCCTCTGACTCCCCAGGAGTTTTCACCCCTGCTGGGAATCTGACAAATCTCTAATTGGAGGTGCCAGCTGACAGAGGAAATGGTGATTTCAAGTAAGAGCTCTAAAAGTCAGAAGAACAACCTTGAAGTGCTATGGATTTGGAATTCAGCTACCTCTACATGGGCAACTAAATTGTGCCCCCGGGAAAGTAGAAGCAAGAACTTAACTTGCTTCTTAACTGCAGTTACTGATTTTCCTAGGCCATGTAGAGGTAGCTAAATTATGTGGAAATGTGCATGTGATATGTTTATATATGCAGAAAAAAAAGTCTGGGGAGAAATACATACCAAAATGTTAACATCCATTCATTCATCAGGTATTACCTATTTTGAGCCAAACCCTAGGCTACAAAGAATGAGCATTAGACGGCAATATAGCAAGGAAGACAAATGGGTGCAAGACTAATATGTTTTGTTTATTTTCTTATTTCCTTTAGATTCTTCTCTGTTTTCCGTAGTGTGAATAGATATCTTCTCCAGCAACAACAGAAAAGGTTTTACTTTGGAAAAGAAAGATACTTCTTCCTTCTGACTGCAGAGTCGGAAGGGCGGGCCAACTCCCGAAGCCCCTCTGTTCAGTTCATAGAGTTTCCTCGGAACCCTATGTGGGAGCGTTTTGTATCCCGCCGTGGCACCGGAGACACCGGAAGTCGAGTCTCTGCGCTCAAGACAAAGCTGCGTGTTTCTTGTACTGACCCGCAGATAGACTGCCGGGTAGGCGGCCGCTACAGACATAACAGCCACCTTGGGGGGACCCGCCGACCCTCAGGGATCCGGCTTCACAGATGTAGGTTTAAATCCAACAGACCGCTACTACCGAAACCGGAAAGCCTTGGGCGGGCTGACGATTGGACGCGGTGCCAGAAGCGGAAGCCGGAAACGCTTGGTGGCGCCCGGGATGGCTGAGGCGGCGACCGTCGCGGCCGAGTCCCTTGTGGGTGGCCGAGCGCGGGCGGCGCGCACTGTGCTAGATCAGGTGGTGCTCCCGGGCGAGGAGCTTCTGCTGCCGGAGCAGGAGAACGCAGAAGGCCTGGGAAGTGCAGGGGAGCAACCGCTGCGCCTAAATCCCGGGGCGCGCTCCCGAGTGCGCGTTGTGTGCGGTCCGGGCTTGCGGCGCTGTGGCGACCGCCTGCTGGTCACCAAGTGCGGCCGCCTCCGTCACAAGGAGCCCGGCGGTGGCAGTGGCGGCTGCATTTACTGGGTGGACTCACAACAGAAACGGGTGAGTTGGGAATCCGGAGGAGTGTGGTACGGCCATGAGAGGGGTATCCCCGCTCTGGGAAGACTTCTCAGAAGAGGCGGGGAGGTGGGTGGGG